TCTGGGCAACCTGTCCCAGTGCCTCACCACCCTCTCCGGGAAGAACTTCTTCCTGATATCTAATCTAAACCTCCCCACCTTCAATTTAAACCCATTACCCCTTGTCCTATCACCACGGCCCTTGTAAAAAGACCCCCTTCACCTTCCTTGTAGCCCCTTCAGGTACTGGAAAGTGCTATAAGGTCTCCCTGGATCCTTCTCTTCTCCAGGCTGAACAAGCCCAACTCTCTCAGCCTTTCTCACATCTCACCAACTGATTGCTCACAGCCATAAGACACCATGGTGGCTTACCAACTCAGTTGGTAAACAAACAATTGCAACACCAGATTCAGATGATGTTAAACACTATGGCTTCATTTTTCTGACACCTGGTTCATGAAATCTACACCAGATATAAGCCTAAAGCTTATTACTAGTATAGTAATAAGAAGAGAGAGGAGAGGTAGGGGCAGGGGAGAAGTTGTTCCTCTGTGGGGAGGAATAACCGCAGGCACCAGTACAGGCTGGGGCCAACCAGCTGGAAAGCAGCTTTGCAGAAAAAGCCCTGGCAGTCCTAGAGGACAAGCTGAACATGAGCCAGACCTTGCAGCAAAGGCTAACAGCATCCTGGGCTGTGTTAGGTAAAGCATCACCAGCAGGTCAAAGGAGGAGATCCTTCTCCGTTGCCCAGCATTGGTGAGACACACCTGGAGTGCTGTCTCCTATGCTGGGCTCCACAGGACAGGAGTGACATGGACATACCAGAGCGAGTCCAGCAAAGGGCCAATGAGATGATTAAGGGACTGGAGCATCTGTCACACAAGGAGAGGCTAGAGAGGTGATCTTGTTAGCCTCGAGCAGAGAAAGATAAATACCTGATGGGAGGGAGTAAAGACAACAGAGCCAGACTCTTTTTAGTGGTGCCAGTGAAAGGTAAAGAAACAACAGGAACATGCTGAAATACAAGGAATTCCAGAAAAGGGAAAAAAAAAAAAAAAAAAAAGAGGGTGGGTGGGGTGGAGAGTGGTATTGTTGTTGGCTTTTTTTGTTTGGGTTTTGTTGTTGTTTATTGTGAAGAAGTATACTCAGAGGCACAGCCCTGAGTATACTTCTGGACACAGCCCTGAGCAACCTGCTCTACTTGCTCTGAGAAAGAAAGCTAGCCTAGGTCAATGATCTCCAAAGTGGAGTGTGTGCAAGACAACCCACTTGGATGTGGGAAGAAAGTATTTTTTTGTACCACTAATGAAAATTTATTTTTTACAAAATTAAGTAGCATTTATTTCATCTTTATCTCATCCTTTTTTAATTTCTACTCATGTAAGTTTTAAAACACACATTATATTTGTACAGTGGTACAGGTATATGATTTATAAAGAAAAACATACACATACTGGGGGTGCTCAAAAACATTTTGTGGGTGCAGTCAAAAAGGTTTGTAAACCATTGGTCTAGATCATGTCCAACGGTCCCTTCCAACTTACGTGAATCTGTGATTCTCCCTCTTGATAACAACAACAGATGCCTGTACACAATAGCAGTGTACAGGTCCAGTGGAAAAAATTCTCTCTTCTTATCAGCCGATTTCTGTTGCTTTCTGAAATTTGTCCTTCACCTTGTTAAACCCAGTAACTGCCTAAGCTATACCTTCTTCTACACTGATATTAATAATTGGGTTTGGATTTCTTCCACTTGTCTACTAAAAATTATTTTGGGGGGGGAGAATTGTGTATTTTTTTTGGTTTTAATGCTCCTCAAGGCTACTTCAACCTACTTCCCCAGAGGAATGGTTACTGCAGCAGGCCACATTCTGGTTTTGCCACCTATGAAAAGACTATCAGGACGATCACAGAGTCAGCTATGCTACTTCCTCCTTGCCAGATACTTCTCTCCTCACAGCACTCAAACCAACCAAAAAGTTCCTTTAAATTTCTAGATGAAGCTTTACTGAGGAACACAATCCAGATTTTTTACAGTGATAGAGCCCTGTTTAACAAAAACTTAATGTTGTTACTTGCATAACCTGACATTACAGTTATATGCTATTTTTCTGCCAGGTTACTTCATAAAATACACCATTAAATTATCGTATACACATTCAAGATATGTGAAGCTATAGTCTGTCCATTCATAAACCCCAATTCCAGACACTAGTGTATTTTTATTGTTTACTTAAACTTTGCAGTTGCATTAAAATACAATATTAAATAAATCATTTGGAGTACATTAACAAAATAAGCAAAAAATTAACTGAATTGAATGCTTTACAATTTTTTGTGCAATCATAAGTAATCCAAATTCTTACAATACCACTGTTTACACATTGAGTAATGGCAAACTACTATCAGCTCATTATCTCACTCAAGGTCTTATATGTAAACTAGAACTAGAGAAAGTTCATAAGCTTTATTATCCCTTCAAAACCCTTTAGAAAGTTTATTTTTTGCATACACCTATATACATAAACAAGATGGATGATTTTCACATAACCGTAATTTGAGTACTATTCAGTTTCTGAAGAGCTGGAAAAAGAACAAGACCCTTCTTGGATATCAGTGTTTGTTTATGCAGAGCACAGTGATATTCATAGACTAGAAATGTACTGAAACCCGTATTACATCGACAATTTTTCTCAAAGAGAAAGTGAAAATGAAAGGTCTTGTTCCAAACAGGAGCACTGGGGAAAAATGTTCATTGTATATCTCATGTGGAACACCAGCAGTACCACTCTGGGAAATCAGAGAGGACTTGAGTAGACTGCCCAATCAAGGCTCATCTGAGATCCACATATATCTGCTTAGATATCCTGCTAGAATTTTGTTGTTGTTGTTGTTTTCATACCCACATGATTTTAGTGCCTTTGTGCAATTTGCAACCCTCCCCACATGCTTCCCTTACCAAAAGGATGCAGCTATCTCACAATACAGAGACCAGCAAATCTATTTCCTCCCACGCCTGGCCCAATGTCCACAATAGTTATGGGAAAGCAAAGTGACCTTCAATCTGTCAAAATGTACCATTTGAATTACATATGCTACAGATAATCTTGCGATCCAAACAGAAAAATGCAGCCACCATGGACGTGGGGTGACTATGTAGCAGTCAAAAGAACTGTACAGCCTAAAATAACAGGCATCTTTTACACACAATTAGAAAAATATGTACACCTACATCCACATACCCCTCTAAATTAACATTTTGCACCTTTTATGTGCTACTCAAGTGCATTATAAAAACATACTACAGTCTTAATTTAGTAAGCCAGGTACTTTCTTTACCTCCACAAAAAAAAAAACAATTAAAAAGAATCAACCGTATAATATTGACTGCAATAAAGAGAATTCCAGCACTTCACAATATCTGTCACACTTCACAGTCAATAACTATTTCTCAGAATGGCTTGTACACTAAGAGAAAAAGCCAGGATACAAATTTATGAGATAGTAAAGTGCTTTTTATTGTACACACAGCATAGAGTCATGAGAATCTGCTATACAGTCCTCATAACAGAAACATGACCTTTGAAATGCCAAAGCTCCCTTTGCTAGCAAATGATTATCACCAAAGAGCTGTCAGCTCCCAAGTTTTTAAAATATTAACTCTGCTGAGTCATGTATCATAAAATGCCGCAAACCTACCCATGGAACGCTGTTACAGGAGAGCAGCAACTTGAAACCCAATCTGTTGAAAATACTAAAAGTAGCTTCATATGCCAAATTTTTATTTTAAATAACTTTCCATTTACTGGCACTACACAAAAGATTTATGTACACAGATGATTGACCACATTGGAGAAAACTCTAAATGTATGAAGCAAAACAAGCAGAAAGCAAGAAATCGCAATTAGAAAGGCGAATGCCATTATTTTTATAGTTGTTTGCAACACCAGTAGTTGAAATATTCAGAAAGGAAAGAATAGAGTTTGTAAGTAATAAGAAAGGCTTCAAAAGAGGCAGGTTGCATTTCAAGTCAGAATACCTTTACAAACACTTATTCACAGCAGTGTACATGAGACTAGCATCATAAACATAAAGTCAGAGTCATGCAAATTAAGTCATTCACACGCATCCATGCATTTCAAGGGATTATGAACACAACCAAAGAAAATGGTGTAATTAGTTTTTCAAGAAGATACTCAGTATTTTTCGCGGTTCATATTACTTTGTACTGCGCTAGTGCAAGTCCAAGAAGTTACTCTGATATAAGGCAAATGAAATTAAGTATTGTTTGCATCATTCCATTTTACTATCCAACTTTCAAAACCTTTAAAAGTACAAGTTACTGTAATTTTCTGACCCACAGATAATACTATAATTAACTTCCTCCTGACTATTCAGTGACTTACTTTAGAAAATCTGTCTTTGGTTCCACCATCTTTCAGTAATCATTCCCTTTTCCAGGTAGTATAGGTAGTAAGTTTCTTTGCAGTCCTATATCCAAGTGCTTCACCGTACAAGTAAGGGTGACAGAAGATTCATGGACTGACTAATTTTAACCTCCACTAATAAGCATTAGGTGCAATGATATGAAGATATTAAGCAAAATATACATCCCTACAATATATGAAGGACCAGACAGACTTTAAAGTTCCAACAGAAAAACCAAATCATGTAAATCTGGTGATAAAAATCAGACGACACAGGAACTACACACATAAAAATCAAATCCAATTTAAAAGCAAACACAGATTTGTTCAAACAGCATTGTACAATTGCTTTAACACTTACACAATTTGGAAGAACAATATTTTCATTCACTCAGTTTAGGATAAATATAAAGCAAGGCACCCCTTAAGCATTTTAAATAACAAATTAAACATTTATGTTTTTTACTGTGCAGTCAGGCTTAACATTTATGCAGCTTCAAAACCAAAATACAGCCTCAAGGGAAGCCTCTCCACTGATAAATTAATACCTTAGAGAATAGAGCTGAATGATGGCAATGAACTCATTTGTTCCCCCAATAATGAAGAATGACTCTTTCTTTACCACATCTGCGACTGTTGCTATGGTGACCCAGACTTACCTCATTGCTTCTCGAAGTGCTCCTCGCTCACTAAGAGTTGTATGCTTGATGTCATCAAAATTATTTTCTAGTTTCTCACAGTTCTGCAATAAACAGACAAATCCATATAAGGCTCTTAAACAGTATATTGTACATGTATTAATATTATTCAACATCATGCAAACAAAACTGATTTATATTATGTAACCTCAAATTATGCATTCTGTTTTAATTACATAGAAGTCATTAAAAAGACATTGAGAACTCAGAAACAAAGTATACATGAATCTTATTATATGGTTGTCATGGAAATCATCTTGAATGTTTCATAATGAAATATATAGATTTTTTACTTTCTTCTTCTTGAAAACAACAAAAAACTCTTTTATCAGCATGCGAGTCTACAAAGCTACTATACACACACAGACAAGAATAGAAACTTAAATGTGCATTTTAAAATTAGAATAAAAATTATAAATTCTGTCCCAATAAAACAGGCAGTGCTGTTGTAACGAATCAATCATATTTAAGTTAATTTTTAAAACACAACAGAAACTGAAAATATTGTTTATAGACAACTCAGCAATCTAATGTTTTTTCCAGCTTCTAACTCACCAGTATTTCTAACAGTAATATGAAGCCAACAATTTTGTGACAATAAATGAAATAAAAACTAAATTCTGTTAATTATTATTAAATGTGTAATTGGTTCCATTGCTTCAGAGTGCTGATCCTTTTCTTCTGCTCTCACAAAGATTCAGAAGATGCTGGGGAGTACAGAAAATTGTATCTGTGCAAAGCAAGTGTGAAATACCAGCAAACAAGTATTCTCTGATCATCTGCATCATCCATAGGAATTTTACAGTCTTTTGAGGCTTTGTCAATACAGGAGGCTTTTAGGTTACCCCCGTTCTATGCAACATCTTTCTGCAATACCAAAACTTACCTATGGGAGGCATACTTTTGCCAAATGGGTGTAAAAGAAACACAAGTTGCAAGCTAACAATTACTACTGCTAACAACCTTGAAGGTAGGATTGTCAGGCTCTTCGTGCAGTAGCTTTAAGCAAAATACGTGCACTAATATTTGGTCATATTTCTTTCACAGTCTTTCATATCTGAATTAAATTTTCAAGTCCACATCTTATAGTTAGTTATAATAAATACAATAACAGTTACCTATTGTTATTTCTTTTCTGCATTGATTCTTTATTTTTATAATTACATTCAATTTGAGCCTGCAAAAGCATTACTAGAATGGAAATTATTAGATATTTGTAAATGACCTAACAAGATATTTTAGCTTGTCCAATTAATATTTAAACTATCATTATTTTTAAATAAGATCACAGACTTTTTAATACAAAGCATAAATGCTTTAACAATACATTTCTGAGCAGGAGAAACAAACAAAACTACATTTGGAACTTTTGCAATTTTTTTTCTCCCTTACAAAAGATTATGCATGTCTTAAGTATGAGTAGTAATCTTATCCCACAGCTAATCTGATATTTTTCCTTTGTTTATATTACAATCAGCTGTCTGTTGTATGGCAGAATCCTACTCAAAAACTCAAAGGGAGTATGTGAGAACTACAGGAAGGCTTTACAATGAAATATTCCATTATTTAGATCAGCATACCTTGACCTTCAGCTCCAAGCACACACAGGCATGTCAGTTGTTTAAAATACACAAAAGAAAACCAAATCAATTATACTAATTAATAAAGAATTCCTGATTCATCAGTACTAAACTGAAGGTATCTGTGTAAGCAAAATCAAACTTCCTATTCTCCAGGAAAACAGACCAAAGGAAACACCATTTGGAATATTGCTTCAAGTGCTGAAAGAGGAAAGCCCATGTTTTAACAATCCAGTGCCACAAGCATCTCAGGACAAATTCAGAAAATCTGAGCATCACACAGTTCATTTCTATTGACCTTGTGATATAAAGCATGTACAAATGACAGAGGATCCAAAGCACACAAAAATTTTATCAAACACAACTAAATCTCCCCTCTACAACCTAAAATAAATGCTGCTCTCCACATGGAAAATGCTGAAAAGAGTAAGTTCAGCTGGCATTTCTTCTTTGTATATATAGACCATGCTATGTTAATCAGCTGAAGGGCAAGAAAGGTGACCCATATCTAAAGAAAATGCTGTTATCATGTAGCCTTACACACACAAATATTCCATCTCAACTACAAAACTATAAAACAATGAAAAAATTAATAGATAACCTAGAACAAAAAATTGAACAAATTTTCTAGACTCAAGTTTAGATGTTGTATGAATTCATTTGGCAAGATGATGAACTTACTTCTACCATTTCTCAGAATTGCTTCTAGACAATATCTTTCTAAGCTACTTTCAGCCAAAGAGTTGTCATCCAAGGTACAGCCATTAGATAGCAAATAACTCCACCATTAGGAAAGAATGAACTAAAAACCGAGCCAGATACAAACTCCTGAAGGAAGATGACCCCACCGTAGTATGTCATCAGCTACTACATACATACTGAACAGGAAAATGAGCAAATACTGATCATACCCATTGCTCTCCAGTTAAAGTTGCAATCATCCAAAACAGTATATTGGATCCTCTCAGAGAAAAGAGAACAGGTTGTCTGAAATGCCAGTACAAGCATAGTTGTATAGATGCTGCTTCTTCATGAACCTGAGTATCAGCTCACACAATGCATTTGTAGGTAGGCTGAATGGGTATAGGTTTATAAGAAAAGCTACCAATATGAATGAAATTGTGAGAATGAGAATACTCCGAAGGATATATCTGGGAAATTATGAAACATCAGTAGAACATGTCCAGGGTGAGCTTTACATTCGTAAGTATTAAAGCAGTAGCAAAACTTGAGTTCATTCTATTATCCATTCTACCAAATCGATTAACATCTATAAACATCTTGCACAGGGCAGTATGTTTTGGCCCGTAATACTTCACAGATTTAAGTATAAAGAGCAATTAAACTCCCAGGTGTTTCCTTTTGAGCAGCAGCCAAATTTAAAAAAAAAAAAAAAAAAAATCAAAACCTGAGCAATGAAAAGAATTGGATTTGTTGGCCTACTGCCACCAAAACGATTTGTCTGTGGATATAAAGTCTAGAAGTTTTAACTCTATGATGAAATAATTATATAGCATCCTGTGATATCCCTGTTGGCAGATCTAGAGTGCTGTATGATATTAAGCTAAATACCACCCTTCAGAAGTTTAAGAGGAAAAATAAGTAGAGAGATGTGATTAGGGACATGGTCATCATATGGCAAACTACCATTGCATGTCAAAAAGCCACAAAAGTCTAAATACTGCTTTGTAAAGCATTCAAGCATACATACCTTGAGGTTTTTAAATGAACCAAAAAGCAAGTGAGTGGGGAAGAGATTTTAAATATAAATAAATGGCTTATTTATCATATGAGACCTTAACTAAAACTACATGACAACTAGTTAAAAAGGGAGATGTAGACTGGATATCCACAAATATCTGTGGCATCACACACACCATACTGGTGGAACACCTAATCAGAAATAAGAAAGATATATCATGAATGTAAGATGATGAGGAAGATGGAAGAATAATGAATGAATTGAACAGGTTTTCCTCTCGTAACCACAAAAATATTACTTTTGTTCCTACTGCAAGTTAATCTTGTTAATAAAATAAACTGCTGGCTTTGGGACCAAGGACTATGTGCTCATAATTATATATCTTCAGTCATGGCAAGTGTTAATAATATCATGACATAGACTTTATAATAATATTCTAAAAGTCTGAAGAAAGTCAACAACTACCAAGTCCAAAATACTTTGAGACACTGGTTGAAGTAACAAGCTAGCTTACATAACTGGAGATTATAAATAAAGAATCCCACTAGTTTAAAATAAAAACCTGGGATTCTGGCAAAAGTGAAGATGTTCTTTTAAAAACAGATCTCAATCAGCTTAGCTTTCTTGTATATGTTTTTGTCCTGGACGGAAAAGCCCTTTTTGGTTGACTTTCTAATTTGAAAAGCAATTGTTGATTTGGCCTCTTGGGTCAAATGCAAAAGTTTGCAGAAGCAGCCCAGAAACCAAAAGTAGTCTATTGCCTGGCATCACCACTGAGGATCTCCCTACAACACAAAAGCATTGCTGCCTCTGCTCTACCATGACAGGCCTGAGTCTGTTTTGAGAAGAGCATAACTCAAACTTGCCCATTCTGCGATACAGTACAGATAAAAGAAGTGAATCCTCTTCCATTGAAATCAATCTTGAATCTTCCATCCAGTCAAATGAGAATGGGATCACATTAAGCCATATCCTGCTACTTTAACTCCATCCTGAAATGCTTCATATAAGACTTTTGAAAGTGTTAGTATTACAGATAATGTCTTACACACATTTTCAGGCAGTTGAGAAATAAAATCTTTTGATCTGACAACAGTGTGAGACCTGTTCTAAGGCAGCCTGCATCACTGAAGTTAAGTAGATCTCTCATCCTAGTTGATACACTGCCAAATCAAACGCCTTACTTAAAATACCATCTCTCCCGCAAGAAAGAAGGTTTAGGTAAGTAAGATTGCTGAATTCTTGGAATTCATTGCTTTCACATGGTTTTAGGAAATCTTCTTAGAAAGCTTGAGTTTTTGTCCAAATATTTGTGAAAGTAAATCTCATTTTTACTGTCAAATGTTCTCTGTGTATTAAACATAAGGAATGTACAGCAATTGAAAGATGGAACAGGTGTCACCTGTTTGGTTTGTATTTACTATTGCTGCTAATGCTAAAACAAATTCATTTTTCTCCTGTTTTCTCCTTTATAATCCATGAAAAATGTTCCTACAGGCTATGCCAAATCCTAAAATGTGCACAATAAATGTAACTGCAGCTAGATTCCTGAGTGCTTAAAATGAGACAACCTGGTCCAAATTCTTAAGGACACAGTAGCACGCTCTGATATTTCAACTAGTTACCTTTAAGGAGCTAGGCTCCAAAGAAAGATTGACAAAAGTGTTGGGGAGCTATAGAATCTACTGTAAGTACCTACATCCTGTACAGATTCAGCGAGAAAAAGTCTCACATTTTGGTTCAAAAATTCCTTAAAAAGTCA